CTGCAGGCACGTAAATGCGATCATAGAACCGCAACAGGACCCCAATATATGCGTAAGGAGTCTCTTGCTCCCATTCTCATCCAATTCACAATGCTGAGCTGCCACAAATGGGTCCTGTCGCTGCGCCTCCTGAATCCTCACTCGAAGGTCCACATGTTCCTCAGTAGCCACCAACCGTTCCAACGGAATCACCGTCCAGGGCAAGATTTTGTCCTCCCTTCGGGTATATTCAGGCTTCCGGGGTAGTGCATCAGCACGTTGATTCCACCCACTTGTCACCCAGAAATCAAATTGGGCAAAGAACAACGACCATCTCACCTGGTTCAATGTCTGAGCTGTACGTATGTGTTCCAAATTGCAATGATCCGTCCGAACCTCAATCTGGTGACGAGCCCCCTCCAGGTGGTGCCGCCATGTCTCAAAAGCGACCTTAACCGCCAATAGGTCCTTGTCCCAAATCGTATATTTGCGTTCTGGAGCCAACAACTTCCGGGAATAATAAGTGCAAGGGAACAAGGTGCCTGCGGGAGCATAGGCCTGGAGGAGCACCACACCAACAGCCACATCGGAAGCATCTGTTTCCACCACAAACGGCTGGAATGGATCAGGGTGTTTGTGGATAGGCTTGGAAGCAAAGGCGACTTTCAGCGCTTTGAAAGCTGCCTGCTCCTCAGCACCCCAATGGAACTTCTCCCCTTTCTTGAGCAGATTAGAAAGGGAAGCAGTCAAGGCAGCAAAGCGGGGAATAAATGTGCGGTAGTAGTTCACGAACCCCAACAATCGCTGCACATCCTTAACCCGCTGTGGAGGTTCCCACGCCTGTAACAACTCAACTTTTTCCCGCAGGTGAAATACGATGACCGAAGAAGTCGATCATGGTTTGTGCAAACTGACACTTCTCATGCTTAGCAAACGGGTGGTTATCACGCAAGCATTGCAAAACCAGCCGCACATGTTGCCAGTGTTCCTGCAAGGAGTCCGAGTAAATTAAAATGTCATCTAGATAAATAACCACAAATTGATCCAATAAATCACGGAAGACGTGCATGAAACGGATGAATACAGCTGGAGCATTGGTTAATCCAAAAGGCATCACCGTATACTCAAAATGACTGTACCTTGTCTGGAAAGCCGTCTTCCACGTCTCCTGCATGAATGCGAACCAGGTTGTAGGCCCCCCGCAAGTCCAACTTCGTGAAGAGTTTAGCTTGACAAAGCCGCTCAATCAGTTCAGGGATGAGGGGAAGCGGGTACTGATTCCTCACTGTGATTGCATTCAACTTGCGGTAATCACAGCACAGACTTAGTTCCCCTGATTTCTTTTTAACAAAAAGAACCGGTGTAGCCAAGAGAGAGGTAGAAGCCCGGATAAACCCTTTCCGGAGGTTCTTGTCAATAAAACATCTGGTCGTCTGGAGTGGTGCAGTTTCTTGATAGGAAGTGTGCCAACCATTGTTTGCGCTCCTGTGCAGGGGTGTGGCGACGTCCGTGGACTTGGATCTACCTGCGGAGTTGGTGGACTTCGCTGATGTGTTTGGGGAGAAGGAGGCGGCGGATCAGTTGCCTCCGCATCAGTCATATGAGTCTCCAATTTACTTGTTGCCCGATGCAAAATTGCTGGTGGGTCAGATATTCTCCCTGTCAGAACCAGAGTTGGTCGCATTGTGGTAATCTGCAGATCGTGGACCTGTAAACTCCAAGCCCAGCACCACCGGAAAATGAGGTTCTGCAGCAAAGTAGAACATGGATTCCTCCACATGTTGCCCAATACACATGCAAAGGGGTTTGGTTGCAGCAACCACAGGTCCCGAACGAAGGGACTGACCATCAATCGTCTCCACCATTACTGGCGGGGACACCTGTTGCTGGGGAATGAACCACTGCTCAACAAAGTGAGCTTCCATGAAATTGGCTGTGGCCCCTGAGTCGACCAAGGCTTGGATCTACACTGTTCCCTTACCAGGCATGAACACACTTGCTGTCAGCACAAGATGCTTCACCAATGATGACTGGAGTGAAGATGTCGAAGATATCAAAAGATGGCGAAGATGGTGGGCCTGAGGACTTTAGAACCCGACCTACAGACTCCCGTAGACTGGGCGATGCTTATTTCGTGCCACCGCTGACGAGCCACTGATTGTGCTATAGAATTAGAACACGGGGCAAGACTACCAAAACCAAAGATGTATTCCATGACACCAGCTAAAATGATTGAATTGAGGAAATATATCGATAGCAATTTGGACAGAGGTTTCATTGAACCTGCCAAATCTAAGTTGGCCACTCCAGTGCTGTTCAAAGAAAAGAAAGATAGCGGGTTGAAATTATGTGTTGATTTTAGGGGCATGAGCGCCATTTGCGTCAAAAACATGTATCCTTGCCCCCTATGAAGGACTTATTAAACCACCTGTCAAAAGGCAAGGTCTTCACCAAGCTAGATCTGAGAGAAGCTTACTACCGAGTCCGCATAAAAGAGGGAGATGAATGGAAAACAGCCTTTAAAAAAACAGTTTCCAATTGCGAGTCATGCCTTTTGGACTTCATGGGGCCTCTGCAGTATTTATGCAACTAATCAATGAAGTGTTACATCCGCACCTGTACCAGGGGGTCTTTGTCTACCTGATTGACATCTTATATTCAGCGAAACCATTGAGGAACATGTCAAATTGGTCAGACAAATCCTGAAAAAACTTTTGGCCACCAAGTTATATGTAAAACTCAAAATGCGAATTTCACAAGGAGTCGCTGGATTACTTAGGCTACTGAATATCCAGCCAGGGAATTGAGATGGACCCTGGTAAAGTGAAAGCCGCGCTGTACTGGCAACCCCCCAAAACACGAAAGCAACTTCAAAGCTTTTTGGGTTTTGCCAATTTCTATAGACAATTCATTCCTTCTTTTGCCGAGGTTGCCCTCCCTTTGACAGAGTTATTAAAAACGGGCCCTTCATCCACCAAACTGAAGCCCAGTCAACCCTTGCTTGAGAAATATTCCATTTCTGATGCTCCTCAACATTTTACAATTGGTTTAAAAATTACAAAGGAATCAGATGTATATAATTAGGTATTATCTATATCAGGAGTCCCTAGCCGCTACCAGGCCTGGCTTATTTGTAACTGGGCCATGTGAGCGGTAGGCCGGAACCCAGTTCCCCTCTTTCCCTCTCCCACCTGGGCCTCCAAGCCGCAAAGGTTGGGGACTGCTGAAATATATGTTTAATAGTGCTGTCTATAACTGACAGACTTTAGACTGGATTTTTGAAATAGCATTCAACTGTTTTTACTTCAGCTGGTAGGATAGTAAGTTTCCAGCTTTACCATGAGATTCCCTGTATTTTTTCTTAGTTCATTTCAAGAACTATTCCATTGGTGCAATTACCATAGTTTATTCTTATTCTTTTTTATGTATTAAACTTATGTGCCACTCATCTTACCCAGAGGGGCTCTAGGTGGTTTATAATTGTAAAAACCCATAAGATAAAACATTAAAGCAGTGGTCCCCAACCTTTTTTGTACCAGGGACCAGTTTCACGCAGAAACACTTTTTCAAGGACCGGGGGGGGGGTCCGAGTTTGGTGGTTTGCTTGCAGACATTTCATTATCTGACTAGGTAACATCTGATGTTGTTACCTAGTCGGGTAATAAAACGTCTGCCAGCAAACCACCAAGTTCAGGGAGTGCCAATGCCTCCTCATTGCAACCCTGAGCGACTCATTGCAACCGCCTCTCGGCCCTGCCTTCATCAGACCCATCCCTCAGGTGTCTCCCTCCCTCCCTCAGGTGTCTGCCTCGTTCCTCTCTCAGTCGCTCTCTCGCTCCTCCACCAGCCCAGGAAGAAACTGCTTCAAAGAAGCCTGCAGGGTGGCTTTTCCTGTCGGCGCAGCTCCCCCGAAGCGCCCGTTCACCCTCACCCCGCCGCCCGCGGTTCAATTCAGTGCTCCGTTCTACCTGCCTGCCTTCGTTTCTGGTGGTTTCGGAGCGCAGCTCCTCCGAAGTGCCCGTTCACCCCCGCCCCGCCCTGCCGCACACGGTTCAATCCAGTGCTCCGTTCTGCCTGCCTGCCTGCCTTCGTTTGTTTCGGAGCAGCTTCGGCTGAG